TTACATGATAGATACATTGTAAGGTGTGCATTGTCTTTGGTTTACATGATAGATACAATGTAAGGTGTGCTTTGTCTTTGGTTTACATGATAGATACATTGGCTTTGTCTTTGGTTTACATGATAGATACATTGTAAGTTGTGCTTTGTCTTTGGTTTACATGATAGATACATTGTAAGGTGTGCTTTGTCTTTGGTTTACATGATAGATACATTGTAAGTTGTGCTTTGTCTTTGGTTTATATGATAGATACATTGTAAGGTGTGCTTTGTCTTTGGTTTACATGATAGATACATTGCAAGGTGTGCTTTGTCTTTGGTTTACATGATAGATACATTGTAAGGTGTGCTTTGTCTTTGGTTTACATGATAGATACAATGCAAGGTGTGCTTTGTCTTTGGGTTACATGATAGATACATTGTAAGGTGTGCTTTGTCTTTGGTTTACATGATAGATACATTGGCTTTGTCTTTGGTTTACATGATAGATACATTGTAAGTTGTGCTTTGTCTTTGGTTTACATGATAGATACATTGTAAGTTGTGTTTTGTCTTTGTCTTTGGTTTACATGATAGATACATTGTAAGGTGTGCTTTGTCTTTGGTTTACATGATAGATACATTGGCTTTGTCTTTGGTTTACATGATAGATACATTGGCTTTGTCTTTGGTTTACATGATAGATACATTGTAAGTAGTGCTTTGCCTTTGGTTTACATGATAGATACATTGTAAGGTGTGCTTTGTTTTTGGTTTACATGATAGATACATTGTAAGGTGTGCTTTGTCTTTGGTTTACATGATAGATACATTGTAAGGTGTGCTTTGTCTTTGGTTTACATGATAAATACATTGCAAGGTGTGCTTTGTCTTTGGTTTACATGATAGATACATTGCAAGGTGTGCTTTGTCTTTGGTTTACATGATAGATACATTGTAAGGTGTGCTTTGTCTTTGGTTTACATGATAGATACATTGGCTTTGTCTTTGGTTTACATGATAGATACATTGTAAGTTGTGCTTTGTCTTTGGTTTACATGATAGATACATTGTAAGTTGTGTTTTGTGTTTGTCTTTGGTTTACATGATAGATACATTGTAAGGTGTGCATTGTCTTTGGTTTACATGATAGATACAATGTAAGGTGTGCTTTGTCTTTGGTTTACATGATAGATACATTGGCTTTGTCTTTGGTTTACATGATAGATACATTGTAAGTTGTGCTTTGTGTTTGGTTTACATGATAGATACATTGTAAGGTGTGCTTTGTCTTTGGTTTACATGATAGATACATTGTAAGTTGTGCTTTGTCTTTGGTTTACATGATAGATACATTGTAAGGTGTGCTTTGTCTTTGGTTTACATGATAGATACATTGCAAAGTGTGCTTTGTCTTTGGTTTACATGATAGATACATTGTAAGGTGTGCTTTGTCTTTGGTTTACATGATAGATACATTGTAAGGTGTGCTTTGTCTTTGGTTTACATGATAGATACATTGTAAGGTGTGCTTTGTCTTTGGTTTACATGATAGATACAATGCAAGGTGTGCTTTGTCTTTGGTTTACATGATAGATACATTGTAAGGTGTGCTTTGTCTTTGGTTTACATGATAGATACATTGGCTTTGTCTTTGGTTTACATGATAGATACATTGTAAGTTGTGCTTTGTCTTTGGTTTACATGATAGATACATTGTAAGGTGTGCTTTGTCTTTGGTTTACATGATAGATACACTGTAAGGTGTGCTTTGTCTATGGTTTACATGATAGATACATTGTAAGTTGTGCTTTGTCTTTGGTTTACATGATAGATACATTGTAAGGTGTGCTTTGTCTTTGGTTTACATGATAGATACATTGTAAGGTGTGCTTTGTCTTTGGTTTACATGATAGATACATTGCAAGGTGTGCTTTGTCTTTGGTTTACATGATAGATACATTGTAAGGTGTGCTTTGTCTTTGGTTTACATGATAGATACATTGTAAGGTGTGCTTTGTCTTTGGTTTACATGATAGATACATTGTAAGGTGTGCTTTGTCTTTGGTTTACATGATAGATACATTGCAAGGTGTGCTTTGTCTTTGGTTTACATGATAGATACATTGCAAGGTGTGCTTTGTCTTTGGTTTACATGATAGATACATTGTAAGGTGTGCTTTGTCTTTGGTTTACATGATAGATACATTGCAAGGTGTGCTTTGTCTTTGGTTTACATGATAGATACATTGTAAGGTGTGCTTTGTCTTTGGTTTACATGATAGATACATTGGCTTTGTCTTTGGTTTACATGATAGATACATTGTAAGTTGTGCTTTGTCTTTGGTTTACATGATAGATACATTGTAAGTTGTGTTTTGTCTTTGTCTTTGGTTTACATGATAGATACATTGTAAGGTGTGCTTTGTCTTTGGTTTACATGATAGATACATTGGCTTTGTCTTTGGTTTACATGATAGATACATTGGCTTTGTCTTTGGTTTACATGATAGATACATTGTAAGTAGTGCTTTGCCTTTGGTTTACATGATAGATACATTGTAAGGTGTGCTTTGTTTTTGGTTTACATGATAGATACATTGTAAGGTGTGCTTTGTCTTTGGTTTACATGATAGATACATTGTAAGGTGTGCTTTGTCTTTGGTTTACATGATAGATACATTGTAAGGTGTGCTTTGTCTTTGGTTTACATGATAGATACATTGTAAGGTGTGCTTTGTCTTTGGTTAACATGATAGATATATTGTAAGTTGTGCTTTGTCTTTGGTTTCTGTAACATGATATTTGTATTTAGTTCATTTTGCTAAAATACATAACAGATGTTACACTTTTGTTTTTCTTTTGTTTTTTGTTTTTGTTTTTTGCCATGGCATTGTCATTTTGTTTTCGGCTAATGAGTTTGAATATAACTTTGGTATCGTTCGTCTCTCTTTAACACTGTTACAACAAGGTTCTAAATATAAACATTATCACGACAGTTATCCAATGAATTTAAAAGGCAGATTTCACCGAAAACAAGCATGTTAAAAATACAAGATTATTACAATCTTGATGCGATATCCCTTTAAAATGGAATTTCTATATTTTACCAGATACTTATAACTTTTCCTTTTTTTAATTACAAAAATAAGGTGCGGATGTTCAGTCTTTTTCAGAATCTCCATTTTGATTGTGGAATTATTAAGTATTTCCTATTGGCATACACGATAGATAAAATACTAGTATTGGAAAACTATGATATAATCATATGAAGGAAATCGATGCTAAGAAAAGTTCAAGCTGCATGACTTGTATGTCTGCTAAACTGATTAAAACGTCTGTTAGAAATACATTCTTAATTTTGTATTTTTTTCTGTAATTCCCGATATGATATCAGTAGGTTCGGGTATTTTTTCAATATAGGAATTATTTCTCCTTCTATATACCCTTTTTAACTCACATGACCCGAAGGGCCAAGTGAGTATTTCTCATCACTTGGCGTCCGTCGTCCGTCGTCGTCTGTTAACTTCTACATAAATCTTCTCCTCTGAAACCACCGGGTCATTTTAACCAAACTTTGCCACAATCATCATTGGGGTATCTAGTTTAAAAAATGTGTCCGATGACCCCCGCCTGCTGACTAAGATGGTCGACATGGCTAAAAATAGAACATAGGGGTAAAATGCAAGTTTTGTCTATTATTTTGAAAAGCGTTGAGTAGAGAAAATCTATCGGGAGCAGAAATGTTCAGAATTTTGAGCTCTACCAATTGTCCATATGCGTCAAAACTGTCAGACGACTTCTTATAGGAGTTATTGCCCTTACATTACAAAATTTACCTTTTTTTCATTTTTGCCTACTATATCTTGAAAACTATAAAGGTAAAGAGAAACTTTAAATTGCAAAATGATCAGCAAAACAAGTTCTACAAATAAGTTTCATGGTCGAAATCGTCAGTCGACTCCTTATTAGAGTTATTGCCATTTGATGACGATTTTTACCAATTATTTGCGTTTTTGCCTTATATCTTATAAAATTATAATAGATAGATAGAAACGTAAATATGCAAAAATGATCAGCAAAACAAGATCTACAATTAAGATAATATGGAGAAAATCGTCCGCCGACTCCTTATTGGAGATATTGCCCTTTAATGACGAATTTCACCATTTTTTTTGGCGTTTTGCCCTATATGATAAAAATTATAAAAGATAAATAGACACTTTAAATCACAAAATTGATCAGCAAGCCAAGATCTACTAACAAGTCAAAGTTTGCTGATATAGTTAGTAGACTGTCACTCTTTATAGGAGTGATTGCCCTTAAATGAGGATTTTTTTTACCTTCTTTAAAAATTTGTGTTTTGAGCAAAAAATAAAGAAGATAGAAAGAAACTAAACAGATAAATGATCAGCATTACAAGATCAACAAAACAGAGATTTTGTAATGAATTGTATTCTCATCAACAATTTGGGAGAGTGTCCTTTGTTGAATATGCACATAGACCAATGTGAGCGACACAGGCTCTTAAGAGCCTCTAGTTTATTCTACTCAAGCGACACCGAGTAGTTGGCAGATGATACATCATGTGGTCAACAGTGCAGAAAACGAAATCGATCCATGCATAAGTTTTACATCAAACGTGATAAGTATAAATAAGAAGATGTGGTATGAGTGCCAATGAGACAACTATCCATCCAAGTCACAATGTGTAAAAAGAAAACAATTATAGGTCAAAGTACGGCCTTCAACACTGAGCCTTGGCTCACACCGAACAGTAAGCTATAAAGGGCCCCAAAAAGACTAGTGTGAAAAAGGAAAACCAACGGTCTAATCTATATAAAAAAAACTAGAAACACTTATGAACCACAGTAACAAACGACAACAACTCAACAACAGGCTCCTGACTTAGGACAAGCGCATAAAAATGCAGCGGGTTTAAACGTTTTAACAGGCGCAAAAGCTGCTTTGGAAGCACTTTGATATAAGTACGCTTAAATTGAATATTTTTTAAATTGAATATTGTAATTCGAAGATTTTTTATTTAAAGTTTGAAATAGTCATGTAAACTGTATCTATATGAACCCAATAAATTAATTAAGTCTCTATAAAACGTGTTTATTTTGTCTTAGCGTTTTGATGCATCAACAAGCTCGTTCACCCATTGAATGACGTCATCGTTGGTTCCATCATAGATCAGACGTCGAAACATTTTTACAACTTCACGGTGACCTCCATCATAGGTATTCTGATCATTACCTCGTTTCCGTAACCATATTTCCAAAGCTTGTTCGTCTACAAAATAATTACCAGCGATAAAATCCTCTACAATTGTTCTGATTTGCCTCTCCCAGGAGGAGATACCAACGGAATTCGAATCTAGTCTATCTTTTGATGTCAGATTTTCATAGATAGACCTCATATACATGCCAACACTACCTCGTAATATTTCTATCTGTTGGCCATAATTTATAGAATTCTTATCTAGATAGTCTTCATCTACGTGTACAACCATGCGATTTCGTATGAGATCCATGAACTCTTCGGGCAGAGGCTGATAATATGCCTGCACTATACGTGAATCCGAACTTAATCTTCCAGTGTCCACAAGACTTTGAATATCCATGCCTGTGACATCGCCAACAAAGCCATCAATAATATCTCTATACACCCTAAGAACGTTGTTGTTGATCACATGTTCTCCCCTACGTGCTGGTCTTTGCATTTGGCTGTTGTCTGGTTCGATATGCCATGGTGTTCTTCTCTTAATTTCAGATAACTTCGAATATGCCATCCTACCGCCTACATTGACAACAGCTTCTGCAGCTACTTTTCCAGCAACATTCTTCGCTACTGCCTTGCCCGATTGTTTAGCCATCTCTTTAATAGCAAGCTTACTAATAGCTCCAGAAGTTCCGAATGTTAGAACGTCAAGCGTACCACCAATCAAAGCTTGAGTTCCTTTAATGGCTGCTCCTTGCTTGTCACCATCTATAAGAGAGACGACAGCTTCTGCTCCATTTTTTACAGTACCGACTACTGGAACATAATCAAATGCATTCCACAACCAAGACATCTCTAGTCTGTGAAGAGAATTATTATACATCATTCTTCATATAACTAAAACACATACACTGTAAATAAAACGGACGCCTGACGCGTCCGGACGCGTTCAAAACTTGTACACCGAATGTTCAATATTTTAACGTCATATGTCATATGCTCATGCTTAGAGACGTGTTCAAATTTTAACGTTTGTGTTCAAAATATTAACACCTGTGTTCAGACGCAGTGAACACCGGTGTTCAAGTTCTGTTCTAAAAATGAAGATGGTCGTTTGTCCGATTTTCTATTCTTCCAATTGGCAAATTCAAAAAGAAATTCTTTCAAAAATATGAATGTATACGCAGGATGTTGATCTTGTGAATTTTTGGTTAATATTTTAGTAATTGTGAAATATAAAACTTCCAAGCTGGCATATGTATAGTTTATGAAAGTATTACAAGTTTTACTTATAAGTGACATGATTATGCATATAGTTGTTTATCTTATTTCATGATCCGTTCATTTTTTTAACATTACATGTTCAATCAGTGTTCAAATCGCTCGAAATTTTGAACATCTCGTGTTAAAAAAAATATACCAGGATACCAAATACCGGAAACAGATATCGGCTGGCGATTTAGGTGGTTAAACGAAGAATGGATACACATAAAGAAGAGAACTGGAGAAGGGACTTCTATCCCACATGAAAACGAAAGAAGTGAGTAACTTAGAATAAATATAGTTCGATGGCTTCCTTGTTATTTTCTCATGCAAGATATATATATATATATATATAACTATTAGGTGCGCGAACGGGTTTTTGTACGATTACAGCGTAATATATATATATATGTTAAATATTCAAAACTGTTATATCCAAATTTTCAATATTCAACATAAAAGACGAAATAAAGAAGTGGCTTTAGATATAAACGTAAGTAACTGTCAGCTTTGTTCTGATGATTTCCTAAACTGACGAATAACCAGTTTGTCTGTTATACAGAATAAAAGATGATTTTCGACATCCACATATAGCAGACTTAGAAAATGCATTCGTTTTTTTTTATTTGCAGGAATCGTTAGACTAAAATGTCTGAATAAGAACCGGTACCCAATAATCACAAGAAGGTCATTTCTGCAAGCTACAATGTGGTGGAAAAAATAGAAAGATGTCAAAAAAGGTATGACAATATATGTATATCAATAGCTTATTTCGGTGTATCATTTCTATCTGTTTACCTTAGGTCAAGAAATAGACTTTTGTAATTTTTAATGTCAAAACGTGCATTTCATTGCACTAGAATATCAATTTGTACTCTATTAAATATCAGCATTAACGCATAACAAGCATTGCATAATTTGATGCTTTATGAAAAACTCTCTTCTGTTAATTTTAAATTTTATTTTGCAGGATATAGGCTCATAGACATTTCTTGTTGAGGATTTTGACATTGGAAATTGATAACAACACATACAATGCCACCAAGTTGATAGCTTTAAGTGAAGATGCACCGAAAAGTGGAGCGTACATTGTATGTGATGACACCAGTGTCATGGAAGTAGCTATCGTACAAGAATTGTGAATTTGCAATTTTTTAAACTTTCGTTGTGACAAATATTTATATTATAAACTATTTACTTATCACATTGACATGTTTGGTTAGGATACAGAGGATGTAGTAACTATCTAATTATGTAAGGAAAAATCATTATTTGTGATATATTTAAATCAGTTTTAAAAAAAATTATGTATGTGATTTCACTGACTGTTATACTTATATCATAAGGTATCTGATGTACTTTTCTTTCATATATGCTCATTTGATTACATAAAAAATTACTCATTAAAAGATGTATTTATTGTTATATTTTGCTCGCATTGAATATAGTTTTTATAACAGTTTAAGTTGAGTACTTATGGAAAATTATGTACGCTTGAAAATAGAACATGTTCCACATTTGAACACCATCACTTTGAACACTTTTGTCAACTGTTCTGAAAGTGAACATCTGGTGTTCTAAATCTTAACACTTTTGTTCTTGAACATGTTCTATGTGTTCAAAAAGTGTTACAGGGCTGTTGAACGCGTCGACGTGTTAAGATTTTGAACATTCGGAGACGTTAAATCGTTGAACACTAAGTGTTAAGAACTCTAACATCAAGTGTCCAAAAATGAAACACAAAGGCATTAAAAACTGAACATCACGCATTCAATTGATGAACACTAGTGTAAACATTTGGAACACCATTACACATTCAAAAAGTTTTACAAAAAAGCGTTCAAGCAGTGTTCTATTTATTAACACTTATATTTACAGTGTACTCATTTTATTGTTAAATTGTATGTACCCTGTTGTTTTTTTAAACAAGCACATTTTTTTGGAGACAAAATCAAATATGAAAAGGCGAAAAACAACTAGATTTTTTGTTTCTATCTCGTTATCGTATACCAAACCTCTCAAAATTAAAAAAAGACTTGAAATGCGCATTAAGAGTTTAAAAAACAATCAATACCACATGACGTGTTTAGGAAGTTCCGATAACAATGAGATACAGTTCAGAGGAAAACGTTCACATGATTTTGCACTAATACCCCGGGGCCCGGTACTATTTTGGCCCGGCGTAACTCATATGTCTTGTCAGTTTTTAAAAATGAATAAGGGTAAAACTTATGTGTACATAAAATTATTGAAAAAAATCTCATATCGTAATGGTTTTTTTGCATAACATTCTGTTGTAACTTTTGTTTATGCCTGAACATCTATTACTTTGCTTTGCACTAATACGGAATGCAAAACGTCATTTAATTTTCATCTACTTTTGTGTTTTATGCTCAAAGTTCGACTTCATTTTTCATCTGATGTTCAAATTTTTCAAATCATGAGGGTGTTGAAGGATGTTTCACTCATTGACGTTTACCCAACCTCTTCCTTGATTCAAAACTAATATGAAATCTTTCACCGAGATATACTACATTAATTAGTAGCATTTTAAAACGAAACAGTTCCTGTTGATTTTCTTATTATGAATTTATGTTTTTTTTTCATATGGTTTTAGTAAAAAAAAAGGAATTGCATTACGTTATTATGAATCCTAATTCAATACGGTACTATATATCTTTCTTAATACTTTAAAAACTATTTTCACCGAAAAAACAACCTTGTCCATATTGTTTTTTCGGTGAACTCCATATAAAAATCTTGAATTTCTTCCCGTCAGTATGAAACGATATGTTTTAAGCAATTAATATCGCCAACTTTGTAAACATACAAGAAAATGGGCGGAGTGTCAAATGGTAATCTATTATGATCTACTGAAGTTCATCTTGTAAATTTTATGACTAGTTAAATAAACAGGAAATATGTCCAAAAGCTAGGGATAAATTATTTATATCACATGTATCACACACAGACACACTGATATTTTCATAAACAATGATAAAGATATAGTGACTATTTTATGTGCTAGTAAATTTTTAAACTAATGTAACCAATAAAAATGACATACACGTATATAAGTGTGGTGTATACATGAGTGTTTCAAGTTTATACTTACCAAAAAAGACTGCGATATTAAACGTCTTCACTTCCTCTTTTAGCTAGGTTAGTTTACATCTATATGAATCACGTGAGCACTTAGTAGAAAACGAAAGTAGATTTTTTTTTCTGAAAGTGAAAGTGCTGAAACCCAATTCAACTGCGTAAGATACACAAGTGGTAAGATACGTATTTCTGGGAAAACTTCCAATCACAAAAAAAATGTGCCCTTAAAAGTTTGGGGTACGAAATACGTTAAGGTTGCATTTGCACACATAAATTAGGCAATGCAGTTTTCCATTGGAACTCGTTGTACATTACGCCTAAAACGGTTTCACTTTTACTATGACGTTTCATAATTATTTTTGCTGGAATTCAAATGCACATTTTTTTAAAGGTAATTGCATTTTTTAAAGTTAAAGTTTTCTTACATATAATGGCTATTTACTAAATTCTCGTTGTATTTTTCTCAGGAACTACAAATCAAGGCTTTTTTTGAAATTTGAAATCAAGCTTTATGTGAGCATTCTACATCATGTGTTATGTGAGCATTCTACACCATGTGTTATGTGAGCATTCTACACCATGTGTTATGTGAGCATTCTACACCATGTGATTCGTTTTCACATTGATTGTCTATCAACATCCTGTTTACCGTATACTAATATTACCGGGGAAATCCTTTATGTGTAATATAACGCAGTTCAACTGTGAAACTCAATACGATGAAATATATTCAAAATACTGACACGACTTACCATTTTTTCTCGAGAAGCTTTTGTACAAATAAGTGTCGACAAAAATAACTCAGTGTTTTCCATTACCAAAAGTATCAAATGAAAAAATCTATAGTCTCTATTTAAAACATGTCTTAAACTGGTCGTATTTTTTATTTATGAGGCGCCGTTTTACTATTTATTACCTATTTTCTGATATCAAAAAATGATTTTCTGATATCAAAAATTCTATTTTTTGATATCAGAAAATCGATTTCTTGATATCAAGAAATAAAGAATATTTTCTGATATCAAAAATTCGAATTCCTGATATCAAAAATTCATTTTTTGATATCAGGAAATAGATTTTTTAATATCAGAAATTCGAATTTTTGATATCAGAAAATATTTTTGATTTTTTGATATCAAGAAATAGATTTTTTGATATAAAAAAATGATTTTTTGATATCAAGAATTCGAATTCCTGATATCAAAAAATGTGATTTTTTGATATCAGAAAATAAGAAATAAATGAATGATGGCTCCCTGTGTGTCAAAACACTCAGGCTCACCAATGAGGCCAAACATCAGGAAATATCTGAAATAATGTTCCCGGTAGACCAATTGTTTTATAGTGTGGAGTACCACTATACACGGTATTGGTCATAATATTGATGACATTGTGTCCCTTGTTACAAAAACAAAATGCTTATACACTTCAAGTTTTATAAACATGAATAAGACTTCAAAGTCTCCGGAAAACTGCTATTTAATAACAATATTTGAAGCAAAAAAAATATTTACACTAATCTTCAGTTTGATCAAACTTATAACGAAATTCAAGACCCATGCACTAAAAGACAATATATGGAAGATTTTTTTAAATTATTCCTAAATAAAACATATTTACTCTTGTGTCGTACAATCCGAATTGGCGGGATAGGTCGACCTAAGAATTTACTACATACTGGAAAATGTTTTCAAGATTTAGATTAGATCGATGGCTCGATAATATATTCAGGTTCAACTGGCGATATACACGATCTTTTCGCCTTATATATCTAATACAATGCATAAACAAGTATAAATTGAAAACAACGTTCAAACCTATGATTGCGTTGGATAAAAACCGCAATTTTTATACGTGTGCATGCAAAACAAATTTCTTGGTAGAGGGGTCTAAATACAGCACAAACAACATTTTCCAAAAGATCAAAAAAGTGAAAAAGTATATTTTAACAATACGCATTTGACTAACAGGTCGAACAACGGATGTTCTTAAACCCTGCTGACTGCCATTGGCGATTGCCAAATAAACGGATCACAAGATGTAACAAAATTGATTTTAATTATTAATTTAATACCAAACAGAAAACAATAAACTTGCGGAAAAGATGGTATACCGCAAACATGAGGTGCAAAAATTTGTACACCATATCCGGATTTCGACAATTAATATCTCTTCAGTGATGTTAGGAATCGAAACGGTATTTGGAAGACCATATAATTTACCTCAATTTAGGATAGACTCTTGAAATTTGAAGAGTCGAAATGTATACCCTACTAAATTGTACTTACCACTTTTCTCAAAATGAAATGAACATTTCTTGACAATCCTTTCAATATAAAGACAAACTTTTCCAAAATGAAGGTATTTTAGAGATGAAAACGTACATCCAACCTACTGAAACGTTTCATTACTTCACAGAAAAAGCTCATATGTATTTAAAAGGTTTATGGAAGACGCGGTTCATAAGAAATAGTAGCAGTCTCGTAAAAAGACGAAATAGACAAATCTTTTAAAAATACAAGACATGCATTTTTTTTATGTTGTTGTTGTCTTTGAACTAGTTGTCACTATCACATCTGTAATTTGTGTCTTTTTCTTGTTGTTACCCTGCCACGTTTGTTCTTGCACTATGTTGTAATGTAACACCAGTGTCCCAGGTTAGGGGGAGAGTTGAGCGCTCAAACATGCTTAATCCCGCCATATTCTTTATGTGTCTGTTCCAAGTCCGGAGCCTGCAGTTTAGTGCATTGTCTTGGTTCATAGAATTGAGAATGGAAATGTGGGGAATATGTCAAAGAGAAAACAACCCGATCAAAGAGCAGACAACAGCCGAAGGCCACCAATGGGTCTTCAACGCAGCGAGAAAATGCCGCACCCGGAGGTGGTCCTCAGCTGGACCCTAAACAAAATTGTGTACTAGTTCAGTGAAAATGGACGTCACACTAAACTCCAAAACATATCAATGAACTAAAATTAAAAAAACATACAAGACTAACAAAGGCCAGAGGCTCCTGACTTGGGACAGGCGAAAAAATGCGGCGGGGTTAGACATGTTTTGTGAGATCTCAACCCTCCCCCTATACCTCTAGCCAATGTAGAATAAAGAAAAACATAGCAATACGCACAGCAAAACTCAGTTTAAAAGAAGTCCGAGTCCGATTACAGAATAGGTAACAAAATAAACTAAGCAAAATGACAATGATACATAAATGATCAAAGGACTACTAGCAGTTACTGACATGCCAGCTCAAGACCTCAGTTAAACTGATTGAAAGATTATGTCTTCATCATAAGAAAATCAAGTACAATCCCTCCCGTTAGGAGTTTAGTATCATACCATCATAGAATATATAAGAAGAACATAAACCGTATCATGCCAACAACTGGTTTTAGAATAAATGTGTTTATTTCCGATGCAAAGACCCTATGAGTGAATAAATATTAATACCAAAATATGCAATCATTAATGACTAATTGACAACAGTATCGTAGCTACCGGTATATCCTTTCCGAATAAGTCTGTTTAAAGGTTTGGTTAGATTTTGAGGTGAATGACGACATTTTTGTACTTTGTAAAGAATATTTCCATAAAATATTGGATGTGAAATACCTGAACGTAATAGAAGTCTGCATGTTGATTTTTATTTACGAATGATGTCTGCCATATTTGTTTTACGTAAATTGTTTTGTTATAAATCATATAGGCCTTTAGCTTTCTAAATTGAGTTGTTTATTTCTTTTTCATATTGGGGCCTTTTAGAGGCGACTATATGGTATGGGGTTTTCTCATTGTTGAAGGCCGTACGGTTGCTTATAATTGCTTGCATCAACTTCATTTGAACTTTGGTGGCTAGTTGTCTCAAGGGCTATCATACCACATCTCCTTATTTTTAAACTTAACAGAACTAACTTAATTACTAAATCATCAACAGGGGCCTCGGTGGCCGAGTGGTCTAAGTAGTTACTACTGTAATCACTAGCCAGTCAACACTGATGTTGTGAGTTCGAACCCCGCTCGTGCGGGTGCACTCGACTGCAATCTTAATTGACTAGGATTGTCAGTTTTCCTATCTAAGGTCGGTGGTTTTCTCCGGGCACTCCGGCTTCTTCCACCAATAAAAACTGGCCGCCACGAAATAGCCCATAAGCGGTGCTTAAAAGTGGCGTTAAAACACCAAAAATCAAAAAATCAATTAAATCCTCAACATAAACAACGAGAAAAAAATATAAAAACAAGATGAACAAAACACTGGGGCTTGATATTTGCAAAAACCTGACTGCACAAATCTGTTTCAGAGGAAACCAATAATTGCTTATAAAAGAAGCGAGAACTTACAATTGTTGACTATAAACCTTAAAATAATAAATATGTGAAACACAAAAAACACAAAACTTCTTATATTAAGACTGATGAAGCCGAACTCTGATATATGCTTTCGTATATATTACACGACCGAAACACCAGACTTAATGTAAGGGCTCATTGGTGAACGTTGATGCTTTTATTGACACACAGGGAGCACTCGTTGATGTTTTTCTTATTTTCTGATATCAAAAAATCATTTTTTGATATCAGGAATTCGAATTTTTGATATAAAAAAAAATCATTTTTTGATATCAGAAAATGTATTTCTTGATATCCAAATATCGTCAGTAATATTTGATATCAGAAAATCTATTTTTTGATATCAGAAAATGGATTTCTTGATATCAAAAAAGGCAATTTTTGATATAAAAAAATTGAATTCCTGATATCAAGAAATATTTTTTGATATCAAGAAATATTTCCTGATATCAAAAAATCAAGAAATAAAGATTATTTTCTGATATCAAGAAATCGAATTCTTGATATCAAAAAATCAAGAAATAAAGATTATTTTCTGATATCAAGAAATCGAATTCTTGATATCAAGAAATATTTTTTGATATCAAGAAATATTTCCTGATATCAAAAAATCATTTTTTGATATCAGGAATTCAATTTTTTGATATCAAGAAATATTTTTTGATATCAGAAAATAAGGAATAAATAGTAAAACGGCGCCTCATATTTATTGGAAAAGGCAATTTCTGATATCAAAAAATTGAATTCCTGATATCAAGAAATATTTTTTGATATCAAGAAATATTTCCTGATATCAAAAAATCATTTTTTGATATCAGGAATTTAATTTTTTGATATCAAGAAATATTTTTTGATATCAGAAAATAAGGAATAAATAGTAAAACGGCGCCTCATATTTATTGGACAATCGAGTTTGAATTTAATTCTACGCGTTTGACTTTTGATTAACAATAGTGAATACTTGTGTACAACAACTCATCAAAGATACCAGGCTTATTACTTTTATACGCCAGTCGTACGTTTCATCTACAAAAGATTCATCAATGACGATAAATTTTTCGAGTAACTTTTCTAATTGAAAAAGAAATCATATGTTTTGATAATAAACATTGCATAAAGAAAGCTATTTTGATTGTATGTACTCTAAACAAATCTTTTAAAAATATTTTTTTATGATCAACATGCTATTAAAGAGGTGTTGTGCACAGCTGGTGAAATAAGTAGTATTACGCTATATGTTGGAACGCTTATGTTATTCAGTTTTATGTGAAATTAGGGAAGACCCCGATCTTTAGCTTAAAATTCAAAACACAAAGGAGACCTACAGTAATTATAATTTTGTTTTCAATAAGGGTCAAATGGTGTGTTACCAAGTGAAGTGCACATACTAATATAAATAAGAAGATGTGGTATGAGTGCCAATGAGACAACTCTCCATTAATGTCACAATATATAAAAAGTTAACAATTATAGATCAAAGTACGGCCGTCAACACGGAGACTTGGCTCACACCGAACAGCAAGCTATAAAGGGCCCCAAAATGACTAGTGTAAAACAATTCAAACAGGAAAACCAACGGTCTAATCTATATAAAAAACGAGAAACAAGAAACACCTATGAACCACCACCAACAAACGACAACCACCGAACAACAGGCTCCTGACTTAGGACAGGTGCATAAAAATGCAATGGGTTTAAACGTTTTAACAGGCGCCAACCTTCACCCTAACCTGAGACAGTAGTGTAACATTACAACATAAAACGACACACTATAAAATATCAATTGAAATGGCTTAACTCGATCAAAAAGATATTTAAACAAAAACAAGTAAACATACACTGAACGAATAAGTTTGATCTATGACACAATATAAATACAATATTAAAACGTAGGTGCCTAAATAACATAGACGTTACAGGTAGTTATAAAAAAGATAAGACAACTCTTACCTGGGACAAAATGGCGTTAAATAAAAGAACGTACACAGGTAAATTTAAATATAATAATTTTGTTGTTAGGAGTACGGAAGTAAACTAAGTTCTTTTATCAAGCGGTTAAAGTACTGTTATGCATAAAAGAGAGGCGAAAGATACCAAAGGGACATTCAAACCCATAAGTCGATAATAAACTGACAATGCCATGGCAAAAAAAGAAAAGGACTAAAAGACAAACAATAGTACACAAAACATAACATAGAAAACTAAAGACACGAACCCCACCAAAAAACTGGAAGTGTTCTTGCTCCACATGTGACACCCATCGTGTTGCTCATGTAAGTACAAACCCGGTGATAATTCATTAGGTCACATTCGGGGAAAAGAGGACGGGATTGTGGTAACAACAATTGGAATATAAATAAATAATATTCCATGGGGACAATAAAGAAAACCCCATAACTCCAATAAAAAAAGACAACATCAAGGCATAAGAAGGAGATGACGAAAAGACAATATACAGTCTACAAAACAGTACACAGAAAAAACTTAAGACGGAGCAATACGAGTCCGTCAAAAACTGGAATGAACTCAGATGATCAGTGTTAGGGTTAACAGTTCCTGCTCTAATAGTGGTACCCTTTGGGTTACCCATTACAAATCAGTGTTAGGATTAACAGTTCCTGCTTCACTAGTGGTACCCCTTGGGTTACCCATTGAAAATCAGTGTTAGGATTAACAGTTCCTGCTCTACTAGTGGTACCCTTTTGGTTACCCATTACAAATCAGTGTTAGGATTAACAGTTCCTGCTTCACTAGTGGTACCCTTTGGGTTACCCATTGCAAATCAGTGTTAGGATTAACAGTTCCTGCTTCACTAGTGGTACCCTTTGGGTTACCCATTGCAAATCAGTGTTAGGATTAACAGTTCCTGCTTCACTAGTGGTACCCTTTGGGTTACCCTTTGCAAATCAGTGTTAGGATTAACAGTTCCTGCTCTACTAGTGGTACCCTGTGGGTTACCCATTACAAATCAGTGTTAGGATTAACAGTTCCTGCTTCACTAGTGGTACCCTTTGGGTTACCCATTGCAAATCAGTGTTAGGATTAACAGTTCCTGCTTCACTAGTGGTATCCTTTGGGTTTCCCACTTCAAATTAGTGTAAGGGTTAAACACAGGTCCTGATTCACTAGTGGCACCCTTTGTGTTACCATTTGCAAATCAGTGTAAGGGTTAACAGTTCCTGCTTCACTAGTGGTACCCTTTGGGTTACCCATTACAAATCCGGTGATATGTCACAGTAGGGGATGGCACAATCAATGAAAAAAGAACATTTTTTGTCGCTGCAATGAGATTTTTGACTTTGGGCAGCACATGAATATTCTCCAGGGTTAAAAGATTTCGAGACATTCCCCTCCCACTCCTTTAATTGTTCGTTTGTAGTTTATTATTGTTTGTTTTACATCAATTTCTTGTTTGTATTGACCTCTGAATTACCAGATTTGTATTTCTTTTTTAAGTTGGTTTAATATGATAAATATGTTCAGAATTGTTCATTGATTTTAAAGTCATTCGAGTCTTGTACATATGAACAACTGGAAATGTTTCTCTTATTTAAGAACATTCATTGATATGAAATTGCAGATTCGTGAATCTTCGTGTTTGCATGGCATACATTTTTTTTTGTAAATTTGTACAAAACAGCATTGGAATAATGCACAATAACTCAATAAAGTTATATTTGTTAAAAACCGAAAAAAACTGTTATTCAGTTTTCAATGGTTTTGATGATGTAAAGAAAAGGTTATAGACATTTAAGGATAACAGAGTAATAACAAACAGTACACCATATACACAAAAGCCTTTGTTAAAATATCCATATGTAACATGAACGAATAGCACTAAATGCTCTAGAATTTCAATCTTTGTATTGAACTTTCTCCATGGCAACAATTCATCGGGGAAGAAGGTCGATAATCCATAAATCAAATATGTTATGAAATGAACCAATGAATTGGTTGCAAAGTAAACAGACATTGGTGGCCATGGAAAAAGATGGAAACAAGCATCTGCCAGTAACATCATGGTACTATGATGATAAACATGAAGAAAACTGATCTGTTTTCGTCTATGGCGTAGAATCATAATCACTGTGTCAAATAACTCCAACATTTTTGTAATCCAGTACACCTTGAAATATGGTAACAGACATTGCTCTGGTCCAAGCTTAAATGTTGATTCAATTACAGAAAAACAATTTAAAAATCCAATAAACGTATACAGGGATACAAGGCTGCAAACAAAATTATGAAGTGTCATCAACTGAAAAAGAGAAAAAATACAAATCGAAACCCGTAGAAAGTTAAGTGGTTAATGTATTCAAATCTCCATTTGTAGTAATCTTTGAGTATTGTTTAAAATACGAAACCGTTATCTTAAAATAATAAAGCAGCCTTTTGTCCGCAGGAAACAAGGTCGTCATGGTATACCGTCGTAAGATAGGAGGCACATGCACTTTTGTCAAAAAGACACCAATTAAAATTAATATTTGTGATTGTAATCGAGTCATGCAATTTTAAGAAACTATATTATCTAGAGCTTATCGTAAAGGTGGGAACTCGGATTTGAAATGTTATGAGTTGCTTGTGTATTAATAAGACGCAACAGTAATTTGACTATGTCAAAAATAGTAAATCATTCTGAAATTACAATCCAAGACCCAAAAACACTGATATAATCTGAAGAACACCAAACAGACCGAGAACGGGTGCGTCGACAGGGAATGCGTATCCTGCTATGTATGCATCGATATGAGAATTTAAAATCGGTGAACAAATTACAAAAGGGAACTGTAAATTTACAAATCCGAGGAATATTCTGGTATCTAAAGATCTAAGACTACAAACACATTTCTCCCGTTAGACGAGACTAAGGCACAACGTTTCGGTCAATCCCTTTGTGATGGTGACAGTAGAATTTGTGTACTGACGATTTCAGTCATTTTTCCAAATGACCATGCTGAAGCATTTTCCACGTTAGGAGCACGCCCCCGTTAGTGAATTCAGTAATATGTCATCATGTATGTACGAAGCCGACATACACACACGTTTAACGATAGGATAGAGTGTATACTACTCCTAAGAAATGGGAAGTCGAAAAATTGACATCGTCATATACCTGATTTAGAAGTCTTCAGCATTTCAATAATACTTTGAAAACAAATAATGTATCGATAGAACCTCGCTTTCATTGCAGTTTTACATCCTGACTGATAATTCTTTAATGATAAGATTGAGATCTCACAAATTGCTTTATCAATAAGCTCGTACATGTAGGGTCGACTTAAAAACTTGGCGGACCTATTTCAACCTGCATATCAAAACTGTCTTCAGTTGTAAATGTTGTACTATGCAATGTATAGAGAATGCATATAATTTTATAATGGTTTGTCCAGCATATAGACAGTATAGACTTGACTACTTTTCAAGATATTATAATACATGGCCAAATATTAACAAACTGTATTTATTACTACAAGTTAAAACAAAAACAGTTATTTACAATTTGATGTGTTTTTTGCGTGAAAGTTGGAAACTGAGAACTTTCATATTAACGTAGTTATATATATATATATATTGTCTTTTTTTCATAAAAAAAGTGTTCACAATGTTTATTGTGTTCTCTGCTGTTTTATATAACTATATATTAAAATATTATTATAAATTTCATGTTGCGTACACATGATAATGTTGTAATTTAAAATACTTTAGCATAATTGTGCTTATAGCAATACACGTCTTTATCTTATCTTATCTTATCTTATCTTATCTTATCAGTTAAGAAAGTGATACGATAGTCCTAAAATGACGAAAGAAAATATTTCTTTACATAAATATGTCTGTTTTAGATATTGTAATTACCGTAACTTAGATGCACAAATATGTATTTCGATATACGTTATACATCTTCAACTGTTGTATATGGCTTTGGATTTTCAAACATTTTTGCCTTAATTGTCAGAAATTTAAAGTCTCATAGCCACTCAAGCTAAAATGGGGCTAACGTAATTATAGCTCATTTATTTAGGATAAAAAGTAAAAACAATAATACATAGACAGAGATAACATGAATCACCAAAAATACCGCACAGTTCAGCATCAACAACATCAACAGTCGACTCCTCCAAAGAATGTATGAGACTGATCTAAAATCTGTACCTTCGAACTATATGCAAAAATATAGTGAATAGAAAATCAATATCATCAATGCAATCCTTGACGTAGGAACATACCAGTTGTTTTCCTCTGTCTAGGAAATCAAATTATAACGTTATGTTTGTTAAAACTCTTGCAGAGCAAAGTTTAATGGTAAGTCATCAGAACGTTATTATGAGTACGACAAATAGAAAAACCTTTGGTCATCTGTAGCACACACTGTTTTTAAAGGTAGACCAAGTAATGATGGCGATCGAAAAGTTTTTAGGACACATTTTGATATCCCTATTGCTATTTAAAATGAATGAACTTCATTGAATACATATTGCTTTTATTTTTGTTTACTCACCAGTCTAATATCAAAGGAGGTCGTCCATTTTTTCCATACTGGATATAATAATACAATAGCAAAGTGGAAACAACATAATGGGAAAGACCGAAGCGAAATTATTACTACCAAAAAATTCTGGATACCTGCTACTGTTAATGTCATTTCTGAAATAAAATGTTGATATATATATATATATATATATACCATTGTAAAAGAGTGAAGAATACTTAATGGTCATGTCTATGTTATTTTCAAATTAGACATTTGTTAACATTGATGGTACACTGTAATTATTTTAGAAATTGTTGAACATGATTGTTTTACTTGTGAATGAATCATTCCTCAACCCTCCATTTTTATCGAAATGCACATCTGGTGCCGTCAGTAAAATTGGTACCAGTAATATTATTTTTACTACATATCATTTTAAAAATGTAGCTTATTTTATGCATATTTATTTCATATAAATGAAAAGGTATCATAACACTTATTTCATGCAATTAATTGTAGATTCACTAGCTCTTTCATCTGGTTTATTTTCCAACCGGCATCAGTTATATTGAATAACCTACAAATGGTACATGTTCTAACGCTTAATGTTGAATATTCTCAAACTTTAAAATCTTTTAAGTAGTATTAAGTGTATTTACTTTTTAAATATATAAAGTCAGGTTATTTTTTTCAATAGCTTCCAAAAAACATGACAAGTTACAAATAAAAAACGTAAAAATACGCGTATAGGGTAGATCAGGTATTTTCAACCGTGAACGGAATTCATCTATTTTTGTTTTATAACGAGAAAACGTATCCACTGACCCAATTTATCTTCTTAATTCTGCTGGTTGACTGTTATCCCTAGCCAGGTATCTAATACTTTGATTCTGGCATTAAAATTACGGATATTGTTTGATTGAAATTTTCTGCTACAAAATTTTGGAAATCATTTGAAATTATTTCTTCTTCATGCAAAGCTCTGACTCCTTGTCCTGGTTTTGGCTATACTTTAGGTCCTTCTAGATTTGACCAGCTATTAAACGGAAGTTACAGTTTTAGATTTCAAATAATTTGGCATCGAGCGACATTTATTGTCGAAATGCCCCATCGATTATAGTAAAATTGATACCGTAAATGGTATTTCTACCACTGGGTCGATACCTCTGCTGGTGGACTTTATTCCTAGACGGTATCGCCAACCAAAAAAAAAACCAATACTTCGATTCTGGTTAAAAAAAGAACTGATAATGTTATTGAAATTTTCTGCTACAAAATTTTGGAAATCATTTGAAATTATTTCTTCTTCATGCAAAGCTCTGACTCCTTGTCCTGGTTTTGGCTATACTTTAGGTCCTTCTAGGTTTGACCAGCTATTAAACGGAAGTTACAGTTTTAGATTTCAAATAATTTGGCATCGAGCGACATTTATTGTCGAAATGCCCCATCGATTATAGTAAAATTGATACCGTAAATGGTATTTCTACCACTGGGTCGATACCTCTGCTGGTGGACTTTATTCCTAGACGGTATCGCCAACCAAAAAAAAAACCAATACTTCGATTCTGGTTAAAAAAAGAACTGATAATGTTATTGAAATTTGCTGTTTTAAAGTTTTGGAAATCATTTGAAATTAAGGAATATTTTTCCCTATTGCAAAGCTCTGATTCGTTTTCAGGATTTGGCTATACTTTATATCCTTTTTGGTTTGATCAGCTCTTCAACGTTCAATATTTTGGTCTCGGGTCTCATTTAAGATACGTTAATTGACGAAATCAGCATCATGGGCAGTACAATTTGTACCGTCAATGTAATTATTAGTTTTCTTTCTATCACGCAAAAATGTTTTTTTCCATGTATAATCTATACACAATCTGACAATTTTGCGCATAATATAAACTTAATTTTGGCAAAATATTAAAAGATTCTGTCGATTTTAATTAGACCTCCGACCTAGTGTACTAGATGCCTTGGAACGTGTTTTTCACTTTAGACCACCCATTTGGAGGTCCAAATCTATTCACATCACACATAGGACCATTGTTCATAAAAACTGTCAAAATCAAACGTCAGACATTACCAATCAACGGAACGAATGGAAAACAACTGTCATATTCCTTACTTGGTACCGGCATTTTCCGAAGAAAACGGTGAGTTAAACTTGGTTTTATAGTTAACTATCTAAATCTGTCACTTGTATGACAGTTGTTTATAGTTTCGTTATATTGACAAAATTGGATGGACAACCCAAACAAACATTAGAGGTTAATGTGACAACAATTGGGATCCAGCAGCCAAAGATGTGTAACCATACATCACAGACATACAACACAACTGACTAAAATATTCAAACAAACATACAAATAAATCTAAGAAAGACGTCAAAAAACTGTTGTTTTATAGATAACTTCAGTTAATCATTCAGTGTCATCCTTTAAGCTTTTTATTTTTTTTATAAAGTTGTTCCATTAATTGATAGCGTTTGATTTTGTGTGCTTTTATGGACTTCCCCTTTGTGAATTTGCCTTGGAGTTCTGTTTTTTTTTGTTATATTTTTTTTTTTGTAAAACAGATGATATGTTGTTAGATGAGCAGAAAAATTTAAACAACAAAATTACCGAACTCCAAGGAAAATTCAAAACGGAAGGCCTCTTTACAATTGGCAAAATCAAAAGCTCAAACTCATCAAACGAATGGAAAACAACTGTCATATTCCTGACTTGGTACAGGCATTTCCTAAACTAAACCTGTTTAAAGAACTTGTTTTTCAATGCTGTTCAATTTCGTTATTGATTCTGTCAGGAAACTACTTTGATTTAAGTGTCACTGATCAGTTTATTGTTATGCCCCCGCAACTGAAAGTTGGGGGGCATATTGTTTTACCCCTGTCCGTCCGTCTGTCCTTCCGTCCTTTCGTCCGTCCGTCCCAGTATGGGTATATAGTTATTCCACATAACTCCTCCTACAATTTGAATCCTAAGAAGTTTTCACTTTGCTGTCTGTTTGTACATATATTGAAGGTGTGCATGTGGTCAGGGTTTAGAATTTTATTAATATTTGCTCTTTTGGGAGATAGTTAATTTGTCATTTGTGGAGTATATACTTGCATAAGAGGTGCATAGCATTTCCGGATAACTCCTCCTACAGTTTGAATGCTAGGAAGTTTTCACTTTGCAGGCTGTTTGAACATATATTGAAGGTGTGCATGTGGTCAGGGTTTTGATTTTTATTAATATTTGCTATTTTGGGAGATAGTTGAACTTTGTCATTTTTGGGAACACATAGGTTTATGGTTCACTGTAGGACTACCTCTTATACAAATAAATACTCCAAAAATGACAAAGTTCAACTTTCTCCCAAAAGAGCAATTATTAATAAATATCAAAACCCTGACCATATGCACACGTTCAATATATGTACAAACAGCCAGCAAACTGAAAACTTCCTAGCATTCAAACTGTAGGAGGAGTTATCCGGAAATGCTATGCACCTCTTATGCAAGTATATTCTCCAAGTTCAACTTTGTGGAAAGGGGGGGGGGGGGGGGGGGGGGGGGGTGATGGGACATCACTTTGTCTAGTTTTCTTTAATGTGTTTTGTGAGAAACACTTTCAAATTAATGATTCTGGAATGGGAGGGAGGAGAGCTTTCAAAAGCAGTGTTTTAAAGACACGTGTGAAATAGGTTAATTCTATAAAAACCGTAGGTATTGTTCTATTTTATACGTTATACTCTCATACATATAAATTATTGAAACTGACGAAGGCTATTTGTTCAGCCAAAATATTTGTCAACACGATTTTATAACATCATCTTCGTATATTACCATCTTATATTAGTACCGTTGCGCAAATCTTTAGAGTTTAATTCATATATATCGCATTGTAAATATTTTTAATATTTTAATATTTACATACTAAATAGTGTGTTAAAATTACATTGTTAGGCAATTTATAATTTCATTTGTGTAATTAGGCCTTTGTTCTTTTTCGTGGAAATACCTATTGCTTTTGTTCTGATTATTTTGTTTTTCTTCCGTATAATTTTTTTCTTGCGCGGTATTGTTGTTTAAGATGTCGCTTAGATTTTTGGTATATGATATCGAACAGTTTATTTGCTTTTGAAACTGACCCTGTTTAACCGAACACTTTACTTTGTAAGAGTTATCTCCCCGAACACTGTTTTTCTAGTGCGTACTACTTCTTCGCAACCATAAAAGATTATTACAAAATTATGTTACCAAATTGCTTCTTATATCCTCAGGTTGTCGAGAATAATTTTGATCGAAGAGATGTGAGGATTCCATATGATAGTTATTTCCCTTTATGTATTGAACATAAGTGAAATGTAATAGTAACTCATAAACCATAAGGGAAAGAGATTTATGGTCTTTTGATTTGAGGTCTTGGGTCCACCAAAAAGAAAATGAGGTCAAGGTCAAAGATAAAGGTCATGTTTTAATTTTTTGCTTTTGCTTGTGCATGCTAGTCCGAAGAAACTGTAATATATCGACAAAAGATTTGCACTAAATTGTTTGTTGTTAGTATGGTAATATAACTTATTAACAATACATAGTAGAGACCTAAGTTCTTTTGATATGAGGTCCTTGCTAGATGAACTTGAAATTGAGGTCAAGGTCATAGGTAAATTTGACGTCCTAGATTTTGACCTTTGCTTTAACTTCATATCTATACATGATAAAGCCATGTGACATTTTGCATTAGGTTACAAGCCATATGACCTTGAAAAAGGCAACCGGAAGTGACCTTGTGTTAACCGGAAGTAACTATTTTTTGTACTTATTTAATGTTAAATTAAACTGAACCATATATTTTTGGAATCAGTGTCAAGTAATCTATCATATAATACCGAAAGTGACATTTTTCAAATTGGAAGTAGCAAATTATCTCTCTTATTTCAAACAAAGTGTAAAAAAACCATACATTTCTGGAATCGGCATACAGTAAGCTATCATCTGACACTGGAAATGACATTTTAAACCTGATTTTAATATTTTCATATAAAAATATATGGTTTCGGGTGGAAAGACCTATAATTGTTCTCTGGACAATTGGTTTTTAATTGTATTAATCTTTGTACTGATTAATCCACACTCAAATAAATGTGTATGTTATGTGTTGCTATTTATAGGCATTTATAAAAAATATATATGTATATATATATATTATATATAATCATCTGGATATTACTAACAAAAATTCCTCACCTAGAATCAATTCACATCCTGTTTAGGTTATCCTGTGCATCATTTGACTTTTCTTCATTTGTTTAAAATTAATATAGCAAAAACATAAAAAAACATTTGTATAAATATACTTTCCAGAGATATGATTTCTTGATTACATTCAAAGCCAAGGAGGTACATGTAGTTAACAAATATAGCTGTCGGAAATGGCTTCACCGGAAAAGAATTGTCTTTCTACAACACAATTGTAACAGTTTGTTAATCAGCTCAATATGTGTTATAATAAAAAACATTTTAACATTTGCTAAATGAATTACAACAAAAACAACAGTCAAGGAATCTAAAATTAAAATCTCTGTATTACCATCTGATGAAAACTTTGTTAATCATGTAATTACGGTCAGTCCCATTTTTGTGCACTGAAATGTTTTATTTGATACAAAATGAGCTTTCTCAAATTTCAAAATTAATATTTTTCGATACAGCACTTTTCGAATCTGAGAGGCTGGATATGGTTTTTATACACAAGTGGGGATATGGAGAATATTATAAACTTACGCCCAATAACATTATTGAACTTCGAATATAACATTTGCTAGAACATTCTCGCTGACGTTTGAAAATTTTTCTACCACCATTTATTTAAAGAGACAAAAAGAAATTTGTAAAGTTCAGAAATATTTTCGATTCTTATCGAATGATGCCAAATATTTTTGAATACATAGAAATTAGGAATGTTCTACCATACTCCTTGAGCAAACAAAAGCTTTTGATTACAAGTATACCGAATTGGAATGGTTAGATGCATGTTTAGAACATTTCAACTAGGAGAATTTTTCGGGTATGCTTCAAAATGTAATGAAAAATTGTTTAGAAAGGAATCGTAAATGCACATGTCTCGTTTTATGTCATGTAAATCCTAATTTGTGAAGAACCACACAAATTCCAAAAACAAATACACCGAAGATGATATCATCAAAATGCTGCACTTTTAATCGACAACATATTTGTTGAGTTTGGTGAATTGATATACAGTTGGTATTCGAATAGTACTAATCGTGCACCCCTACTAGCCGACTTGTTTTTATACACACATTAATCAAAATTCGCCATCACGAAATGGTGACGGATACGATATATCTTTTCTCAACTCACTAGCGACATGTTTACAAGCCCTTAATCTTCAGATACCAGAATGGTCATCTAATCTGTACTATTACCGGTAACGTCCTACACTTGATTGTTATCTTTTGACTATGTTTGGATTCGCATGAAGGATGATACATAGATAGCAGGAGACGCTTACCCTGTTTACAAACCCGGTCTGGCACCTTTTGCAGTTTATGCGATTCTCTCAGTTTTTGTTTTGTTACCTTGATTCTTCTTCTTAATCGATTGATGAGATTTGAACATCAGTTAATTACTATTGCTTATATATAGACTTGTTTACTGACTAACGGCTTTCAATCAAGATATGTCCTAATTTCTAGATCAATCCGTCAGTTCTGTCTGATAGCGCCTTTACTATACATTTTACAAATCGCGCCGATGACAAACCCAACTAGGGCTTATCCAGCAATTTAAGAAATTCAACTACTGGGTCATCGAAAAAGAAAATGATAAATGAGTCTTAAATCATTATGTTTGCAGAGGGTAATTTTTTAACAGTACAGGGGAAATAACTGAGGCTAACGCAAGGTTTAGAAAAATACGAGAAAATAGTATTATATGAAGGGGGATGGGTATGATCAACAAAGAGGCATTAATTTAAACGATAACTGGAATTTAATGGCCAAATGGTGGCTACGAAAATATGAAGAAAACAAATTAATTGTGAAAATTTCTAAAATGGACAATTTTCAAAGCATAGTAAAAATTCATTAATATACTAATTCCATTTTTGGTAAAAATAATATCCAAGATAAACTACTATTCAGAAAAATAAAATCCAATACAACAATAGACCTTTTGTCTTCCCTAAGTTTGGAAAAGTTGAATCCATACAAAGAGATAAGAGGGACGAAAAAAAGAAATCTCAAAAGCGACAATTTATATACAATATCCTTCAAAATTAAAGAAACTGGATTAGCTATTCAAAATCCTTTCCGTTCATGTTAAAAAATGCCACAGCAATTATAGGCAACCGTAGTAAGCCGATATTCAAATCTTATCAATTGATTAGAAAGACAAAATCAAGGTAAAACACCCAAGGGAATTGCATGATCGCCAAAAGACCGAGACCATATGTGTCGTGATGATTTTTATGCTAAAAAAAACAATGAATTTTACGGTAAACGAAATCATTTAGTAAACCCAAGTAGAATGTTTTTGAAACTAATACAATAACCATTAAACCTAAATATAGTTCCAAACTATGTAATAAAATCGCATGTTCAGTATAATGCGGAATCATTTTGGAAAAAGATAAAAAGAAATTAAAATAAAAGTATGTCGTGTAGGAAAGCTGACCAAATATTTGTAAAAAAATCAGTAATATATCACCAACACATTAGTCAGCCTTTTTCTGTTAACATGAAATATCATTGGTATGTTGATTTTTGTAAATTTACTGTAAAAATGTATATTTATTCGAAAGGTTTTTCTCCCCGCAGGCATGGGTTGCCATAGCCGAATTTGCACTGCTTCGGTTTCTCATGAAATTCAACTTCTTATTTGATTTAGCTTTCCAACTATTCTGAATATAACGCCACTAATGAGTGTCATATAGATGAAACGCGCTTTTTTTGCGTACCGAATTATAAGTCTAGTATCTATAATGAGTTTTTTTTTATAACATAATTTACACATAAACTGTTTAGAATGGGCAAATCCATTAACAGTTACTGTCATCTCTGTAAAACAAAAGATGAAACACTCACACATATCTTTCACAGATGTAATAGTATGAAGATAGTTCGGAAAGACATTTTAGATGCTTTTACAGTGTATAAGGTGCCAAAGATTACTATATCTAAGTGTGTGAGAAACTGATTAAACTAGGAATGTATGACAGAAATGAAAACATAATATCATTATGAATACCATATTTAATAGAGTAAAATAGGTTACCATGAAATTAATATTATACTTTAAATCAGTTTATATCATATACAAAACGTAAAATGTAAATTTACTTGCATACGGATATTTACAAAAGAAAAAAATAGGCATCTAAAATAAAACCATTTTTAAACCTTATATTATAAATCGATTACTAATCCTATTTTGTACTTACCTTTACTTCAAACTTTTAACATTACAAATCACCAAAAGAAATTAATTGATAGTATTTTTAATGGAAAACGTCGTGCATATTGACGGCAGAATCACGGACAGTCACATCACGATGTTAATCCATCTGTTAAGGTATGTCGACTTTGAGTATAGTGTATAAGATCATGAATTTGAATTTTATTGTGTCTTTTGATGACATATAGTTATAAAAAATATAATTGTCTTATATTTTTTTTTATGAAATGAATAAGAATGTAACTTGTACAGTGAATGCAGAAAATGTCTTTATAAAAGATTCCATCGTTTAACTCTTTGTGCCAACTTTCCTTGGTTGCACAAGGGATAATTTATACAGGTTTTGTACAATAAATATATTCTTTTTCTTAGAAAATGTCATTGTATCTGTTTTCTCAGAAAAATCTTACAATGAAAAATACTCCAATGTCATAAATAACCTAATGAAAGTAAACATGAATTTTAAGATATTTCTGACGATCACTCATAAAGGGGCCTCGGTGGCCGAAGTAGTCGAACTACTGTATCACTGGTCTGTCAACACTGAGGTTGTGAGTAAGAATCCCGCACGTGGCATGTGCGCTCGACTCCAATCTTAATTGACTAGGATTGTTTTCCTACCGAAGGTCGGTGGTTCTCTCCCGGCACTCCGACACTCCGGCTTCCACCACCAATAAAAACTGACACGAAATAGCACAATAGAGCTGAAAGTGGTGTTAAACACCAATCAATCAATTAATCAATGGTTGCTCATAAAATAATCCTAGCATTATATTACAAAAGAGTGTGAACTCTGATACTTATGATAAGATCCCCTAAACTGTCCATCGTGAGCTACTAAGAGCTATCCGTCATTAAGATATCTTCTTCTTTTAAACCATTTGACTTTTATGGTTCACCTAGAATCTGCCTTCAATACAGAAAATTCGTTATGCGTGTCGTAAAATCCATTTAATGAATTTGCTTAAATCTGACAAAAATGTCACTTTTCCTCTCTGACACACTCACCTAATTTTGTTTATCCCAAACAACCGTTATTTTATTTCCTTTATAATTTTTTGGGTGATTTCAAAAAGACGACATTATTGTATCGTTAGTATATCATTTCATATTTCATATTCATTCTTAAAGGTACGTTTTTCAAATCTAAATTTTTGAATCTCTCTTTTAGGTTTTTATACATCCTTGCTTTTCAAATGCTTGAATTTTAGTGTTCCTGATGGAGGTAAATCCAGAAAAGCGCTTCAAACGCACGAAACGTATAAAGCGATGTTTTCTTTTTCCGTTTAGATAGGTAGATCCCGATGTAAATGTAAGAGAAATCAAATGTTTTAATACTTCACGTATCACACACATAGAGTTATTTGATTGTATATATAGTTACTCTGAACAGATCTTTAGATATTTGTAGTATCCACACTGTTTGAAGGAGATATCGCGGACCTATTGGCTGATCTAGCAATTTTACTCTATCTGTAGGGACACCTCTGATGGAAGTAGATACCGTGGACCTATTTGAAAAACTGGAAATATACCTCAAGTAGTGGGTACACCTTTTGAGTTTTGTGTATTAAGTAGAATGAGTGAAATCCAGATCTTCATTTATGTTTAGTTTAAAGATGAATTACTGTAAATTCAGAAATTATTGCGTGCATTTATTATTGCGATTTAGTCATTTTAGACTAAAATGCGATTTTGATTTTTGCGATATTGAGAAAAATCCTGTTTAATTCATATAAAAAATTTCAAAATGCCAGTTTAAATTCTTGCGATTATAACCCTGTCGCATTTTCCCCAATAATAAAAACATCGCAATAATTTCTGAATTTACAGTAGCGGCAACAGTAGTAAATCATGTTCAAATATCGTAAATCCATTTTGAATGTACAAAGATAATAATGATTCCGAGAACGGTGTGAAATGCCTGTTTCAAGTC